GCGGGAGGGCGGGGCCTGGAGCTCCCTGCTGGTGCCCGCTGGAGGTCGCTGCCGGCTGTGGGGAGGACACACTTCCGGTGATGTCAGGGGGTGTGGCATATGCTAATGAGTTATGCTAATGAATTCCTCTAGCTCTTTCTCTACGAAATGACCCCTGCCTCCAAGGAATACCAAGGCTGCTATGTGTCGCCTAATATGCAAAGGAGTTCCTGCTACAAAAAAAGCCCTGCCAGTGGGTGCACTGAGAAAACATTCCTTCTGTAAACAGGAATCCATGCCCCCTCCTCCCCAAGGCTGAATGGTTTGAGACCACTAAGGCAAGAGCATTCTAGAGGAAATGTTTTTTTTTAAAAAAAAAAAAAAACCTCTAGCGTATTTTGGGGGCAGAGGTAAAGAGGTGATGGATCATATGCAGTTTAAACCAATAAGACAAGAGGCAACACGAAGCCAGTGGCAAAATCAACATCTCGTGGGGAAGCACCAAGTGCCCAAAGGACGCCTGGTCCTGCGGCCCCATCCTGTTTCTCTCCCCAAATGCAAGCACCATATTCTCGTGTGATCTGTAACAACCACCCCCCTCCCGGTCGGGGTGTGTGTGTCTGAGGTGCAGGTTGTCCGTGTGCATGAGAGGGCCAGTCAGAACTTGAGGCAAATGCACCTAAGGAGGGGGGGGCAATTGGTCCCACTCCCCTCCTGCTCACATTGGCCCACGTGCACCCAGGAGATCCAGCTGGTTTATGAGGTCTAGGAGCTTAACACAGTGTTGTCGTGGCCCTTGTTTGTCAATCTCAATGTGTTGAGGCTCAGAACATGGCTCTCATCCCCCCCCCTTTTTAAAACAGGGCTGTGATGGGAAGTGCTCCACCAACGGGGGGTCTGGGAGGATTCCAAGGTGCAAAGCCGCCTTCAGGGTTCCAGGGACATTGCCTCATTCTGACTGCTTTCCATCACCTGCTGGGAAGTTCTGCTTGGGGGCATTTCTGGCCGGAATCCTCATTAAAGTTGCCTCAGACTAAGTCCTGCCCAGCTGGCTTCTCCCCATATAAGGCTGAGGGAGATTCAGAGGGACACTCGGGTGAACCAAGACATCTGGAGCGGACGTCTTCCCTGGGGGACAAATTTCCCGCTTCTCAGGTAAGAAAACCTCTGTGTTGATTCCTGGGGATCTGTTACTAAAATTCAGTTGAGAATGAAAAGGGGATATCTGGGGAGAGGCTGCAGCAGCTGTCCTACCAAAGTCAGCAGGAGTTCCTGATCAAGAAAGATGGAAGGGTTCCATCCTGTGTTTCTTTCCTGTTTCCTCTGAGCATGTGCAGATTGTATTTCCTCATCTGCTGCAGTCTGACATTCATGGCCAAAGCAGCGGGGCTTTCTGGCCATTGAAGGTGCTTCCTATCGAGTTCTGAACCCTTTAAGCCTCTGCCCACTAGGGTTGCCAGTCCTGGGTTGGAAAACACCTGGAGACTTTGGGGGTGGATCCAGGAGAGGGCGGG